GGGACCCCCCCCCCCCCCCCTTCTTAATATATCTGAACCTGTCATTTAACAACCTTGATGGCAAGGTACTCATTCAAGGAATCTTCAGAAATGCAACTGCAGCTGAAGTACTGGGCAATATTAAGCTATGTGGAGGGATCCCAGAGCTGCACTTAAAGCCATGCCCTGTTCAAAAACAAGAGAAACGCAAAAAACGCACTGCTTTAAAGCTGGTTTTAGTCATTGTTATTCCTGCTCTATTTCTATCTTTGGCTGTGGCTTTCCTTTCAATGCTCCTGACAAGAAAAGTGAAGAAGAAACCACTTTCCTCACCTTCCTTTGGACAATTTCTTCCCAAAGTCTCTTACCAGGAACTTCTTAATGCCACTGGAGGGTTTTCTTCCGGTAATTTGATAGATTCAGGTAATTTTGGATCTGTATACAATGGAACTCTAAGTCCTACAGGAATAACTGTGGTGGTTAAGGTACTCAAACTCAACCAGCGTGGAGCTTCTAAAAGCTTCATGGCGGAATGCGAAGCCCTACGGAACATCCAACACCGTAATCTTGTCAAACTGGTATCTGTTTGCTCAAGAACTGATTTTCATGGCAATGATTTCAAAGCTCTGGCCTATGAGTTCATGCCAAATGGGAGCTAGGAAAACTGGCTGCATCCAGCAGATGGTCAGATACAATTAAGAAACTTGGATCTTCGCCAGAGAATGAACATTGCGATCGATGTGGCTTCTGCATTGCATTATCTTCATAACCTGTGTGAAACACCGGTCATTCACTGCAATCTAAAGCCAAGCAATGTTCTACTTGACAGTGATTTTACTGCTCACCTAAGCGATTTTGGTTTGTCGAGGCTCTTGTCACAATTCGGTGTAGATGCTGTTTCGAGTCAATTTAGCTCCCTTGGAATCAAGTNCACCGGTCATTCACTGCAATCTAAAGCCAAGCAATGTTCTACTTGACAGTGATTTTACTGCTCATCTAAGCGATTTTGGTTTGTCGAGGCTCTTGTCACAATCCGGTGTAGATGCTGTTTCGAGTCAATTTAGCTCCCTTGGAATCAAGGNAATATATGCAGAGTCTAACAAGTACAAAATGCTCCTTAACAGCTTGTAGTAATTATCAAACAAAAATAGTTCTTAATGAGACACTGAAAAATGACTCTCTATCATAAGAACGACAATTGCTTTTTGTTCTTTCTTATTGTNGTGAACCACCGGATATGTGGCTCCAGGTACACATTCTGATTATTTTTTCCATATAAGGAGCTTCAGGTTCTTACTAAAGCTACTAAATAAAATGCAATTTTCATTAACTAAACAGAGCTTTGTCATCCAAAGAGTAAGTAGCCCATTCTTGTTACAAATATAATAGTAATATACTTCAGATAACCTTTTCATGTCCTCCAACTTTTTAGGTTCTGAATGTAGTATGAAATCTACGTTTCTATTTGACAGTACAAATAGCAGTTTACCATGTTTGCAGAGTATGACATGGGTGGTCAGGTATCAACTCAGGGAGATGTATACAGCTATGGGATTCTCTTGTTGGAGATGTTCACTGGAAAAAGAACAACAGATGAACCATTCAGAGATGATTTGAACCTTCATAATTTAGTTGATACAGCATTGTCCGAGCGACTATCGGAAGTAATCAACTCATTTTTACTTACTGAGGTGATTCAGGAAACTCAAAGCAGTACTANATAAGAGTAATATACTTCAGATAACCTTTTCATGTCCTCCAACTTTTTAGGTTCTGAATGTAGTATGAAATCTACGTTTCTATTTGACAGTACAAATAGCAGTTTACCATGTTTGCAGAGTATGACATGGGTGGTCAGGTATCAACTCAGGGAGATGTATACAGCTATGGGATTCTCTTGTTGGAGATGTTCACTGGAAAAAGACCAACAGATGAACCATTCAGAGATGATTTGAACCTTCATAATTTAGTTGATAGAGCATTGTCCGAGTGACTATCGGAAGTAATCAACTCATTTTTACTTACTGAGGTGATTCAGGAAACTCAAAGCAGTACTGCAAGTTCAAGTAACCATAGAAATAAACACATAGAATGCTTAACTTCTATACTAGAAATAGGAGTTGCATGTTCAGTTGAATCCCCAGGTGATAGAATGGATATGAAAGACGTTGAGTTGGGTCTAGTTTCAGTTACAGAAAAATTCATTGGATCAAGAAGGTGTGATTAATGGCTCTTGGCAGGTGAAATCTTTTGAAACATGGCTTGTAATTTCACTTATTTAAACTCCTAATAATGTGGTTTGGAAGCATTGATTACGATATGCATTGTTAATTTCAAATCTAAGGACAACCACTGTCTATTTCAATTTGCAATGTTGATTTANAAGAACCTGTGAAGTGTAAACATCCTCGGCGCCATTGATGGTGACGCAATTGGCCACTGGGATAACGCGACGTGGACTGGAGCCGCGGGTGACCGACGAGGGATCTTTGAACCAGAAGAGCTTTCAGGACGAGCCACCGGCTACGCCAGGTCTCCTTGGGTTGGACTTACCCACTTCAAAACTTCCACCGCGTTATCAGCCTTAGCAGGCACGGTGGGGTAAGTAAGTATTAATGGATTTACGGGCGAAAAATTTAATAGATATTAAGAATGATTTTAAGAAAAATGTTAGGTGGTCGTTGAACGAGTCTATTATTGATTGAAGTCTGTTCTTTATAGATAGAAAAGTACAAAAGTTATATCCAAATTTTTTAAGATTTATCATTTAATTAATTAGATTGAAAAGATTAAATCTCATGATTATACGTGATATGATATTAAATGCACTCACGTGATATTGACAAGACAAGTTTGGTGATCAAGAGTCCTCTATTAGAGCTTTTTAACTAAGTCAAGCTAATTAGAGGTTCGATAATAGATGAAAAAGATCGGCTCTCTTTATAACCGAACTCATCAGNTCTGATTATTTTTTCCATATAAGGAGCTTCAGGTTCTTACTAAAGCTACTAAATAAAATGCAATTTTCATTAACTAAACAGAGCTTTGTCATCCAAAGAGTAAGTAGCCCATTCTTGTTACAAATATAAGAGTAATATACTTCAGATAACCTTTTCATGTCCTCCAACTTTTTAGGTTCTGAATGTAGTATGAAATCTACGTTTCTATTTGACAGTACAAATAGCAGTTTACCATGTTTGCAGAGTATGACATGGGTGGTCAGGTATCAACTCAGGGAGATGTATACAGCTATGGGATTCTCTTGTTGGAGATGTTCACTGGAAAAAGACCAACAGATGAACCATTCAGAGATGATTTGAACCTTCATAATTTAGTTGATAGAGCATTGTCCGAGTGACTATCGGAAGTAATCAACTCATTTTTACTTACTGAGGTGATTCAGGAAACTCAAAGCAGTACTGCAAGTTCAAGTAACCATAGAAATAAACACATAGAATGCTTAACTTCTATACTAGAAATAGGAGTTGCATGTTCAGTTGAATCCCCAGGTGATAGAATGGATATGAAAGACGTTGAGTTGGGTCTAGTTTCAGTTACAGAAAAATTCATTGGATCAAGAAGGTGTGATTAATGGCTCTTGGCAGGTGAAATCTTTTGAAACATGGCTTGTAATTTCACTTATTTAAACTCCTAATAATGTGGTTTGGAAGCATTGATTACGATATGCATTGTTAATTTCAAATCTAAGGACAACCACTTTCTATTTCGATTTGCAATGTTGATTTCNATTATTGATTGAAGTCTGTTCTTTATAGATAGAAAAGTACAAAAGTTATATCCAAATTTTTTAAGATTTATCATTTAATTAATTAGATTGAAAAGATTAAATCTCATGATTATACGTGATATGATATTAAATGCACTCACGTGATATTGACAAGACAAGTTTGGTGATCAAGAGTCCTCTATTAGAGCTTTTTAACTAAGTCAAGCTAATTAGAGGTTCGATAATAGATGAAAAAGATCGGCTCTCTTTATAACCGAACTCATCAGTCTGTTCTGCTAAGCAATGGAAGAGTTCGGCTTGTACCAAGCCGAGTTCGTAAAAGTGTTCGGCAAGGCAATTAAAGAGATCGGTTTATGCCAAACCAAGTCCCTTACTCTATTTGATAAAATTCAAGTATGCTCGGCATTTGATATGGCCGAGCTGTTTTAGATAATAAATAGAAGGATAAAGATTCGCCTATAACTTAGGCAATCAAGATAAGCGAATCAGATAAATTGAAGATATCAGGAGAAAATAATAGAGAAATATTAGTAACTTTCCAAACCGAATCACTGAATTGGAGGAAGGTGTACCACCTTGAATCAAGAATTATGAAAACCCTAAGAGGATACCCAACTATAAAAAACAAAAGAAGCCAAGAAGAAAGGTACTCTAAATTCTCCTTGACTTAGGGCAATTCTTTCTGTTCAATTACTGATTTAAGTATCGGAGTGCCTTTGATCGAAGCACTTCGATCTTGGGCAGTTTGTTCGTTTTGCAGGAAGGAGATTAGAAGATTGTTCAGACTTCTTTCCCAGAAACCGTATCATGAATTTACGTGTAGAGGTATTACCACTTTTTAGCTTCTACATTTTGGCGTCGTCTGTGGAAACAATCTTCATCTTTCAAAACAAAAAACTACGATGTCAAGCCTCAAAAACGCAATTGGATCACCCGTATGCAGTTTTGTCCTGGGAAACTCTAATCCTGCTTCTCTTCCTTCTAACAACGACGCAATGTTGCATGCAGTCAGAAGCCCCTCCAGGACCCATGAAGGAGATGAAGTATCCTCTGCAAGTTTCAAGCCCTCGAAAAACCAGAACCAGCAAAGCGAGGATCATGGTAAATCCCTCTGTGCAGAAGGGGAGAACCACTCCTTGGCAAAGTTGGTTCAATCCCTACAGGATCGACTTGATGCTCATGACAAGTTGTTAAAGAAGTCCTACGCTAAGGACAAAGATCTGATCAAAGAAAACAAAGAGTTAAAAGTCAAGTTGAAAGAGGTGACCAGAAGAGAAAAACGGGCGAGAAAAGATCGGCATGAAAGTCCGGGAAGAAAGCCTAGCAAGTTTAAAACTGCCAATGAGAAAGATTACCATCAGCAGAAGCCTCGAATCTAGGAGCAGGACACATGGAAACAGTATATCAACGAAGAGCTCAACATTCACTTGAAGAGACCAGAGTAAAGGTCAGCAAGGGACCTAGCCAGAAGAGCAACAGGAGAGTACGAAGACGGTTTGGAGTCATCCCCATTCACTGTCTGGGTCGAAAAAGCACGAATTCCGAGCAAGTTTCCCATCCTGAACTTCAAGTTATACGACGAAAAGACCGACTCAGCCTCACATATCAGGCACTTTCGACAACTGATGACCATCCACCAAAGAAACGAGTCACTGCTCTGCACTATCTTACCTAGCAATTTGGGGGAGTCCACTATGAAGTGGTTCGACAGCTTACCAAAAGGAACGATTAATGGGTGGTCTCAATTAGCCGAGCAGTTCACAGCTCGATTCATCACGAGCAGTAAACAATCAAAAGATGTTGGGGCTCTACTGACGCTGAAAAAGAAGAGTAATGAAAGCTTGTGAGAGTATGCACATCGCTATTGGGAAACCATGAATGAAGTCGAAGGGTGCAATCTAGAGATTGCAGTTGCATCCTTCAAGATCAGCTTGCCCAAAGAAAATCCTCTATACCAATCGCTCACAAGGAGACCTACTACTGACCTGGAAGAGTTGATGGCAAGGATCGAAAAGTATGCCAAGGTGGATGATGACTTATCTAGAGAAGTGATTAAGGAACATCCGAGCAGGAGACAGTTCGGTAGGGATAAGCAAACTGAGCTGAACAGAGAAGGAGGAAGGAAGTTCGAGAATGAGGGATATCCCCAAAGGTCCCCTTTTCTAGGGGTAAATACATTATTCAAAGAACCCATATACAAGGTTCTAAGTCAGATCAAAGGCAAGACGTTCTTCAAATGGAAGAACAAGCTAATAGGTGATCCATCTAAACATAATCCAAATCTTAGGTGCTCATATCACAGGGATATAGGTCATATGACTGAGAATTGTCGATCTCTAAAGCAGCACTTGGAGGAGTTAGTCTAGGCTGAACATCTCGCAGAGTTCATTGAAAGTGAGCAAAAAGTCACAAAGGGGAGAACCGAGCCGAAAGGGGACTCCAATACTCCAACTAGGGTAATTGATGTGATCCATGCCGCCACCGACCCTCAGATATCCACAAATAACTCTGCTCGGACTTATATTTAGAAAACAACCAAAGAGAGAGAAGTGTACGAGTTAAGAATAACCCCGAAGATTGCTAACAAACGAATCAAGATAGAGGATACAACCGAAGCGATCTGTTTCACCAAGCAGGATTTGGTCAATGTTCACCAACCGCACAACGACGCCTTGGTCGTCACACTTCGAATTGCGAATTTTGATGTGAGAAGGGTCCTGATTGATCCGAGGAGTTCATCAGAAATCATTTATGTGGATCTGTTCGAAAAGCTTGGCCTCAAGAAAGAGGATCTCAAGTCCTCAAATACTCCATTCATCAACTTTAGTGAAAAAACAGTTCTGCCCAAGGGGAAGATCACGCTGCCTATAAAGACAGGACTAGTTTGCGTCATAACCGAGTTCTTAGTAGTGGACACAGTTTTGACATACAACGCAATTATAGGGCGCAGTTGGCTGCACGAGATGAAGGCGGTACAGTCAACATACCATCAAATGCTGAGGTTCCCATCGTCTAATGGAGTAATAAATATCCGAGGAGACCAGGTCAGTTCTAGAACTTGCTTGTTGGCTTCTGTCAAGTCTAAAGACAAGGCAAAATACCCAGGAAATTACTCTGTGGCAAAATAGATGAAATAACAATCAATATCAGACAGCTCGGTTGACCCTGCCGACCTAAAGTAGCTTTAGGCGAAGAAAGGGAGGCTAAAAACTGAACAGTTGAAGACTTAACTAGTGTACCTCTAGATAAAGATGCTGATCAGGAAAAGTATTTTTTGTTTGGAACAGCTCTTAGTAATGAACAAATGACAGAGCTCGTCACACTGCTGAAGGAATACGCCGAATGTGTTCGCATGAAGTACCACCGATATGTTTGGTGTACCACCAGAAGTTGCATGTTATCACTTAAACTTAGACCTGAGCTTCAAGCCAGTCAAGCAAAAGCTCAGGAGGCAGTAAAGGAGGAAGTGGCTCGCTTGCTGGAGTCTCAAACAATTAGAGAGGTGAAATATTCGACCTGGTTGTCAAACATTGTTATGGTAAAAAAGAAAAATGGGAAGTGAAAAGTCTACATTGACTTCACCGACCTGAACAAAGCATGTCCAAAAGATAGTTTTCCGCAGCTGAAGATAGATCAGTTGGTAGACGCAACAGCCAGGCAAAAGCAGATGAGTTTCTTGGATGCCTATAGGGGATATCATCAGATCCCCCTTGCCGAGGAGGATCAAGAAAAGACTGTTTTTATAATGTTGGAAGGAACGTACTGTTACAGAGTAATGCCCTTTGGGTTCAAGAATGCTAGAGCAACATATCAGAGGTTAGCAACCAAAATGTTTTCTCATATGATAGGTAGTACTATAGAA